GATATATTAAAACAATAAAAATATAACACCGTTGGTCTAACATTTAAAAAATACGGTAATTTTGTAAAATGACTGTTTTGTTAGTCGAAAGTCAGCGATTTCCGTCTGGGGTGACTAGTCACCCCACGTGACTGGTAAGGGTTAACAAAACATCAAATACAAAATAATAATTAAAATGTCACAATTTACATTCAGAGAACTTTATTTTATGATATGTTTTCCTAAATCAAATGAAAATATATATTTGTTTCAGATCTTAATAACTATTAAATTAATTTAATTAAAAACTTTCAGTTGGTGTTTTATATTGTGAAAATACTTGAACAAATTCAAAATTTTACGAAAAAATTGTGGACAAATTAGCATTGCAGCGATCGCGTAAATTAGAGGTCATATTGTCCTTAAAGATTATAAAAAAAATGTTAGAATATTTTATAAAAACATAAAAAATTCACCTTTTTAATTTTTTAAAATAGTATTAAGCTAAAAAAATAGTTAAGTTCCAAAAAATCTTATCCTACAATTGAAACAGGTGATTTTTAAAAACCCCATACTTGAGCCATAGAATGGCACAACCACGGGCGAAAGTATAGCAAAGCTTGAACTTACAAACCGGACAAAGTCTAACTGTGGCACAACCACAGGCGAAAGTATTGCAAAGGTTTAACTTACAAACTGGCCAAAGTTTAACTATGGGATTTGGAGAAAACCCATTCTTGGCCCATAATGGCTTAACCATGGATGAAAATTTGAAAAATCTGTACCCATGTTCATTCCTTAGTTACCATTTCCACGCGGGACAATATTCGTGGTCCGACATTTTGTCAATTTTGCATAAAAAAAAATCGTATGATATGCGCAATAGCTATCAACATGCTGAATCTAATACCGTTTGAATTTTTTGTTTCAGACCATCCGTGTCAAAAATTTCATCAACAGCGCGCACCACATTTTTTTTAAACATATTTTTCAACATGTATTTTTAAATAAAAAAATTAATTGAAAAAAATCAAAAATATTTTTTTTTGCACTTCGAGTGTATTTATTATGTGCAATACCTCGCATATCAATATTTGTAATATAAACTTAAAAAAAATATATATGAAAATAGCCTTTTTTAGCCTGTCTAAAGTGGGTAGACCCCTTAAAACTCCTGAGTTTTAAGACATTTTATAGTGTCTTAGATTTCGACCAATGATGAAACGTCTTTGAAATTTTCCTAAACAACGGATCAAATCGATATAATTTTAAAACGTCTCCTAAGTATCTTATTTCTTAAGAAATAAGACTTAAAAATTAAGTTAAGTTTTAAAAATAAGTTTTTGCTAAGTCTTTTATTTGAAATAATATTCTTTCAGGGGTTGTTTATCCCTATCTACCCTCTGGACAAATTTCTTTTACATTTCTTAATATTTTACAACTCTTACATCTAATTATTTTAAGCACAGAAAAATGAAATGTAAAGCGAAAAATTATATAATTTTGAACGAAAAGTTCATTTTGACTTTATAGATTAAGAAGATTACTTCTGAATTTAAGACTTTATATATTGTAAAATATGTTAAAAAGAAATTTTTTCAAGATACAACCCAACCTCTTTATAAACTATCTCTTTATAAGCTTCAAGCTGTACTCGATACCTTTTTCATTAGTTACAATTTCTTCAGATTGGACATTCGAAATAAAGAGCATAATACAAATCATGAAAATACATTTATTTATATTAAAATAAATCATTTTTATTATTTCAGGAACTGAAATTGTTGAATTTTAATTTGAAGCAACTGTAGGGAAGAAAAAATGCGTTCATAAATTACGATTTTGGAAAATACGAATTTATGAATAGAGAAAAAATAATAAATAATAATAAATTATTAAAAGTAAATTTGGTCTAGAATGATGGCTTGAGATTTATATTTTACTAGCGATATACATATCCCACTCTTGCAGACGCTCACTTCACTTAAAGTTGTACTTTTTATTCTTTACGTATTGTAAGGTGTATCAAGTTAGAAAAACAGCTTTCGTAAAATCAAAAATCTCCTATTGGAGAATTTGCCACTAATTATTCGTGAAATTCCCAATTTTGCCGTTTTTGATTTTTAAAAAAAAAACAGGGTGCACTGCTAACTTGATATCAAGTTAGTAGTTCAACCACTGTAAATGAAAGGATAAAAAAATCTGAACACACATGATTTTGCCGTAATCAAATCCCACAATTAGTTTCTCAAAATATTTTAAAATGACACTAAACTTCACAATATTCTATCAGAATTTTCTAAAATTTATATTCTTTCATCTTCAAAATCATTTTAATATAATTAGTAAGTCGAAAACGACTTATTTAAACGAAGCTGAAGAACGCAACGTTTATATAAACGATTTTTATTAAATTATTATTATTTATCGAGCACAGTTTAAAATAATTGCAATTTAATTAAAAAAAAAGTTTTCTTAAAAGCGATAAGAACTCTACTATACCGACAGCAAGAGGATATTTTCAGGTAAGTAAAGTTATTGTGGCGTGTAGTTTTGTTGTGACTGAAAGATGTCGCTTTAGTTTCTATAGTGATCAGATAGGAACATCGAATCACATGATCGCAAAAATTCATGAATATTCATCTATGTTCTATCTTATATCTAATCTATAGAAACTAAGGCGACATCTTTTAGTCACAACAAAACTACGGGCCACAATAACTTTACTTACCTGAAAATATCCTCTTGCTGTCGGTATAGTAGAGTTCTTATCGCTTTTAAGAAAACTTTTTTTTAAAATTATATTGCAATTATTTTAAACTGTGCTCGATAAATAATAAAATAATTTAATAAAATTTGCAATTTCTATTAAATATAAATTATTTTTTCACACATTTTACACTAATTTCTTGAAAATATTATGACAACTGACAACGAGTTAAAATCTACAGTTACCACTTGCACATATCAAGTGATTATTTATTATTTATCACGTTAATAATTAAAATTCTTACAAAAATTAACTCTATAAATGTTCATTTTACCTCACAATACTAATTTTTATAAATTTTCATCAATTTAAAGCTTTTTTTGATAATTACCTAAATTCGACTTAGATTCGACTTAGATTCGCCCCAGCTGGGTCGAATTTAGGTAAATCAAATCCGCCAGGGTAAATCTATATACTCAACTATCAGACTAACGACCAAATTCCTGATAAAAATCTACCAATCGAATCTTATTTCTGACAAAGATTTTAGACTCTACTGTTACATGTATACGTTTTTAATTCTTACGAAAGTCAAATATTTTATTTAGCGTAGTTTAAATAATTAAATTAGCTGAAACGGTAAATACCTATGGCACAGAAAAATTGTCAAAATTATTTCTGACCTACATTTTTCACTATTCTGCTATCTTTTTATATATTTATAAGTCAGATAGTTTATTAGACTTACTTATTCTTCACGAATAATTAAATTAGCTGCTACGGCAAAATCCCAATGCATAGAAAAAGTGTCAAAATTATTTCTGACCGAAATTTTTGACTGTTTTGCTAACTTTTTTTGATGTTAATTATAAAAAATAGTGAAATAATTTCTTTGACGTATTTATCTCTCCACGCGCGAATAATTAAATTAGCTGCTACGACAAAATCCGAATGCATAAAAAACTATTATTAATATTTTAAATTCAACCTTTTTTAAATACAGATCAGTTTCAATCAAGAAACATTTGGTATTTTATTGGTCACTTGGTGCGCTAAGAAGTATCTTCCTTTTAATTTCTTCGATGATTGCGAGGAGTCCAAAAATGTTTTTGAATATTTAAATACTCAAGTTGAATTACCGAAGCGCAACAAATTAAAATCATTATTTCAATCTCATTTTGAAAAAACTCAGAAAATAATTTTAGAAATCTTGCAAAAAAACTCTTCAAAAATTTCGTATACGATTGATGGCTGGACATCAATTAGAGCAAGATCATTTTTGGTATTGCTGCCCACTTTATTGACGAAAATTGGGTTCCGAGATCTCTGGTTATAGATTTTGTGCCATCCAATGGAAAGCATACTGGAAAGGACATCGCCAATTTATTTCTAGGCGTTATAAAGGAAAAGGATTTGATAAGTAAGCTACAGGGAATAACTGTCGACAATGCCTCAGCCAACACATCATTTATTGATAAATTAGCAAGTCTTTTAAGCGCTTCATTGGGAACAGAATTTGATGCAAATGATTTACATTTCCGTTGTTTCGCGCATATAATTCACCTAGCTGCTCAAGATTTTTTGCGCGAACTTCAAATCGAAGACAATCATGTTGTATCCGAAGAATGTATTGAGTACGATGACAGCGAAGAATTGCTTGAAAATCATGAGAACGTTAATGAAGAACAAGAAGAGGAAGAAGGAACTTCTGAATCGAAGGTCATGGTTCGTTTGCGAACTCTTTTTAAGAAATTGAAGTATTCCGAACAGCTACGTGATAAATTTAAATCAGCTTGTGATGTAATAGGAGTAAAATTTTTATCACCGATTTTAGACGTGTCCACAAGATGGAATTCTTGTGACATGATTGACGTAGCTCTTCAGATGAGAGCAGCTTTGGAGTTTTTTTGCACTACCGATTCGAAATTGCAATTGCTTAACTTAACTACGACTGAATGGGATCTTTTGAATACTATTAGAAAGTATTTAATAAGGTTATTCAAGTTAGGTGTGGAAAAGCCAAGATGGATGATTGCTGGTGCACAAACATCCGGCCTATCAGCCTATCAGCATTCATTCCCACGAGAAATACGTGGAAATGTGTGCTGATAGACCGGATGTTTGTGCACCAGCTTGGCTTTCCCCCACCCAACTTGAATAACCTTATGTACTTTAAGACCTTATCTACAACTCTCTGTGGCGATAAATATATTACCTTGCCGCTCGTCATATTAGGCTTTAATTTGTTGTTAGACAAATTAGAAAAATCAATACAGAGTATCAACGAAAGGGGAGACAAACTGTGACAGATATGTGTCTCAAAAATGCTCTTCAACGTGCTTTAGATAAGCTCCTGAAACACTACCGTAAATGCAACTGGATATACAGCTCAATTATGATTCTTGATCCAAGATTTAAGTATGAAACTTTTGAGATGACAGAATGGGATCGCGAGATGGCCGCAGAATCGTTAAAAAAATTTGAACAGATTTTTAAAGAAATATATACATCACCAGATTTGAGATATCAACATACCGAACCAAATGAAGCTATGGACACAAATGATGAATTCAATTTATTTTCACTTTTTGAGCAAAAATCATATTCTGAATCAGGATGGCAACACGAAATTTCGAGGTATCTAAAAGAGCCAAGAGCTGATAAGAATACAGATATTGCGCAATGGTGGAAGCAAAATCAAAATGTGTATCCAAATCTCAATCGCATGGCAAGGGACTTTTTTAGTATTCAAGCAACTTCAGTACCAGCAGAACGTCTTTTCTCTAAAGCTGGACTCATAATAAGGAAAAATCGTAATCGCTTGAATCATGAGTCTGCTAGGATCTGTATTTGCCTCAATTCCTGGACATCTTGCAGTTTAAGTTCTGTTATAAAAGAAAAATTTGACCGCGCCGAAAAGTAATTCGATGTGTTATGTGTTATGCACCTCCGTGCATTAATTGATTAATTTAATTCATTTATGTCCTGTTTTCTTAATAAATTTTATGCCTGATATTTTTAATATTTAATGCAAATAAATTATTAATCTGTACACAATAAAAAATGTTGCACTTGAATTACAGTATTGAAAAAATTTAAGTGCATATTTTCAAAATTAGTTTTAAGGTATTCAATTTAATTGATTAAATTTTAATTTCTCAGTTAATATAGTAAATAAAAATTTATAATTTTTAAATAAAAACGATGATTAAACAATAAGATATTTAATGTTTAATTTAACCTAATAATTACTGAAAACATGATTTTATTTTATATTTAAGAATGTAAATGTTATACAAATCCAAATTGCTTTGTTCCGTAAATACAAAATTAAAATTAAAAAATGTATTTTCTGTAATGTACAACATTTGTCTATTTCTTAAACTCTCGAAAAAAATTTTAGATGCCTGGAAAAGCTGTAAATATATGAGAAATTTCTTTATGATACTATTATACACCCTCAAAAATAAAATTCAATTTTAATTTTCTAATAAAATTATTATCATAATTTTAATTATATAAATCACATTTTTTTATAAGTGAATTATATAAACCAAAAAAATTAACCTTTAAGACAATAATCTAGAATTGTGATGAATTTCGATTGATTATTGTTTTTATAAATTCAACTGTCAAGAAAAACTTGATCCCTTTCTCTTGAAGTATAATACAAGTTATTGATCTCGATTTTTTCTTGATTTTCTCTCTTTAATGCATCACTACACATACCCTTAAGGAAACTTTTTTCTTAAATCTTTCTTAGAAACTATGCTGTCCCCTTTTACCCCAAATTTGAGGAAATTTTCTAAATTTTGGGGTAAATGGGGATAATCAGTTTCATGCATTTAAAGCATATGTAAATTATTTTCTGCTGCATAAAATTAATTCTGGGAATGTAAATGACAACTTAAAAAAAAACCCGCAAGTATTACCTTTTAAAGGAAGAAACTTACGTAATTTGTGAAAAATAGGGATTTTGGACCCATTTACCCCAACTGACCCTAAGTACGTTTTTATTGCAGAATTTAAAATTCAAAAATATGATACTTTAATATTTTTGTACTATTAATTTTAATTGAATATATTTAACGCTTCTTTATTGTTCACAAAATCTTTAAAGATGTCTTAAAAAACTGTTTATTTTGCTGTCAACAATTAAAAAAATTATATATTTTTTGTATGTTATTATACTTATTATACTGATTTAAAATTGTTACATGAAGTTTTATACTATTTTAAAATAAATTTAAATACTATATGAAATAATTCCAATCCTTGTCTTTTTATATGCACTAATAATGATAATAATAATGTAAAATTATATCTAATAACATTTTTAATCAATTATTTACATAGCTATGTAAATAATTATAAATGGGGGAAAGGTTAAATTCAAGGTGAAATATGGCGAAGCGCCAATTTTCACTATTATTTTCGTAATCAGCGCACCAAAATATGGATATTACGCAGTTTCCAAAAAAAAGATTGGAGGTTTGAGCTAATCTTTATCCTAAATGGAAAAAATCTTTTCAAAGAGAATTATCAACAATTTTATTGCTTAAAAAATTTGCATTAAAAGAAATATATACATTTAAAAGAGCTAGAAGTAAGTAACGAATCTAAAAAAAACTATAACAATTCCGAAGAAAATGTAATAAAATTTTTAATGTAAAATTTATTCGATTAAAACTTGACATTATTTCGTTTATCTTTTTTTTTATTCGCATATATTTTTACATAAAAAAATTGTTGAAAAAATTTTCTTAGAATTATATAAGTTTTTTACACTGATTATTTATTTATTATTCTTTTTAAATACACATATATTTTTTTAAATCAAAGTTTTAAAACAGTAAAATTGTTTTTCATTTTTTGCTATATATAACTTTTAAGCATTTTTACTTTTTGTAAAAATTAAAAAATCAAGTTTATTTTTAAACTATATTAAAACTACTTTCATTAATTTATTTGCAAAATCGATAAAATGGTTACACCGAAAAACGTAACTCTAAATTTAAGTATATCTTCTTGGCGTCTCTTTAAGGATAATTTATTCTTAAATTCAGTATGTATATTCTTAATATTAGAAATATATTATTAAAATATATTCTTCTTAAAATATAGTTCTAATATTAAAAGTATATTTTTATTTCAAAAATAGTATATCCTTAAATAGCCGCCAAGGAGATAAACTTAAATTTATATTTACATTTGAAATGAATTTATCAGGTTTTGAAAACTTGCTCCGTTGTTTTTTAAAGAAACCCTCTCTCAAATTATACATTCAAAACCAATGTTATCCAATATCATATTTTATCATCCTCAAAATCCAAATATCTTTAATACCAATCTTATCCAATACCAAAAAATTTTTCCAAAAACCAACTTCCACTATGTTCAAATAATCAATATTTTTTTCCAATATCAAAATATATTCGATACTAATGTTATCCAATATAATTTTTTATCCTTAAAATCCAAATATCTTTAATGCTAAAATTATCCAATATCAAAAAATTTTTCCAAAAAAACCCTCAACTGAAAGCTGTTTTGACAAAACAAATTTCAGGTAGAAACCTTCGAGAACCCTAATTATCAAAGTAAAGATATATATGTATATATAATCTAATAATAATAAGAAAATTCAAGTACTAAGAAAATGTGAAGGAATGAATACAAAGATTATTATTCTATTATAATAATATTTGTATAAATGAAAAAATTGTTGAAAAAATTTTCTTCGCATTACATAAGTTTCTTACTCTGATTATTTATTTATTAATCTTTTCAAATGCACATACTTTTTGATAAAACAAAGTTTTAAAGCAGTAAAATTATTATTATTTTTTTTTTTTTGCTATATTAAGAGCTAGAAATATCAAATAAGTAACAAATATAAAAACTATAACAATTTCGAGGAAAATCTAATAATTTTTTTAATGTAAAATGCAAGCAATTAAAACAAATTAATGAATTATTAATTTGATAAAGTTTTAGTTTCATTTGTGCTTGATAATCTTTTCATATTTTTTCTGTCGCAATAATCATAAAATTAATATACAAATAAGAAAAAGAATTGTTACATTTGTTAAAAAATTAAGAAATTTAATTTTATTATAATAAAAATAAGTGCAAGATAAATACTGTTTTAATATATGATCATTTATTGAATACAATTTACAATAATTGTGTTGTGTACACTTTTCTTTTTCACTAAACAATACAAATGACTAATATTTTATAAGATTTTTAAATTTTAAATATATATGCGTTTAGTGATGATATCAATTAATGTAATTGATACTTAATTCTCCTTTAATTCACAAGTAGAATTTTGATTGGGATACCAAGTTTTATCAGAGATGTAGAAGTAAGAAAGAATTCCTTTAAGAACGTAATTTGGATTACATTTTACTATTACCTCGTTAATACCAAAATTTTCAAGTTTTCCGTTAGCAATTTTGAATGGCGCATGTTTAGGAGATATACCTAAGACAGATAATATATTTATAATACTATATACTTAAAATACAAGGAATTTTTTGAATAATGTTTCTATAAAGAATTTAGATAATTGTCGTAAGTAAAGATTTCAGTCTAGATAAACGAAAATTAAAAATTGATTTGTTTTAGTTTGCATACTTTAGTTTATTAAAGTACTAAAAATCAAAAGATTTTAAGAGCAAGGAAAAATTTAGACTAAAATAATGAATTACAGATAAAATTATAAAATTATTAAAATGGAATAGTTTATTATGAGAAAAAGAAATTGATATAAATACTTACGTTGACAAGAATTAAAATCTCCACTCCAATTTCCATCAACGCAATTTAGTTGAAAAGTCTAAAAAAAATTTTCATAAATGATGATTTTTTAATGTATAAATTGCAATCATTAAAATAAATCAAATGTAATGAACATTTGATTGAATTTTTTTATTTATAGTAAAAAGTTAATTTTTAAATTTGCAAAAAAAGGTACAAATTACAATTATAATTATATTGAACATACGTTGCTTGATTCATCAACCTTCCCTAATTCATTTGTTTTGTTATAGTAATAACCTGGTTTGCAGGTTATTAGAGCAAAATCACCATTATAATAAAATGTAACGCTTGCATTTTTATAGTCAAACGGGGCACAGTTGAATGTTGTTGTTAATTTACAAAATCTATCTGCGACGCTAACGGTTTGATTACCATTACACATACTATTATCTGGACCAATCAGTGTGTAATTTTTCTCGCAACTGAAAGTTACATATTTAAAAATGCCCGCAATTTCTAACTGCTTTGCCGATCCATTAAAATTCGTTACATTTATTGAACAAAAATCACCTAAAAAAATTATATAATTATTCTATATAGAAGGGTATATAGTTCTATATAAACGAAAGAAGAAAATTAAGTTAAATTTGTCACAATATTGTTTGTTTATTCTAGTTCTGTCAAATAGGTTTTAAGTTCAAATAATACAGAATATTTTGTAATCAACGTAAACATCTGAAACCTTGTACTAATTATGAGACACGTCAACAATTTATATATTACTTACAAAATCTTATTCTCTCATGTAAAAAATAAATCAAAATTAATTAAAAGTTAAAAATTAAATCAACTGAACTTTTTGGTTTTTCAGTTTTTTCCAATTGTGAATTTAGATTCTAAAAGAGAGATCTTAATTACATTAAGACAGCGTACTTCTAAATTTAAGACTTTATGTAAATTGTAAAATATGTTAAAAAGAAATTTTTTTAAGATATATACTTAAACAGTAAACTTGGTTGTATCTATATAACGATCTCTTTTTGAAATAACTTATGTGCATCACCCGGCTGAAAAAACTTGTACAAGAAAATGTACAAGTTCTTGTACATATTTTTTGTGCAGGTTTCATATACATTTTCTTGTGCCAGATGTGGAACATGTTCTTGTACATGTTCACTTATGTCTTTTAAATTAAAAATTAAAAACTTTAAAGGCTGCGCAGTAGTTTTTTAAGCCTTTACAGCTGCGCAATAATTTTTAGCATGCATAAGTGAAGATTCTTAATAATTATAACTTATTAAAATTTCAAATTTTTTTCAAAAACATTTTTAAACAAATGTTCTTGTACAAGAACATAAACGTGTTCATGTAAAAGTACTTGTACATGAAACCTGCACAAAAAATATGTACAAGAACATGTACATTTTCTTGTACAAGTATATTTTCTTATCCAAGATCTTGTACAAGTTCTGGTACAAGAACATGTCTCAATTCCGGATGCTGAACTTGTTCAAGAACATTACTTGAACATGTACAAGAAAATGTACAAGTTTATTAATGAACATGTACAAGAACTTGTACATTTTCTTGTACAAGTTTTTTCAGCCGGGCAAAACGTTGCAAAGATTTGATGCAATTTTTGGTCTCAATTTGATACTTTTAGGAAAACTGTGTACTCTAAACACATGTACCTGTTACTTTATTCGAAATAAAGAGCACGATAAAAATCGCGAAAGTCCATTTATTTATATTGAAATAAATCATTTTTATTATATCAGGAACTGATACTGTTGAATTTTAATTTGCAGCAACTGTATGGAAGAAAAAATGCGTTTATATAAGTTACGATTAGGGAAAATAAAAATTTATGAATAGATACAAAAATTAATAATAAATAAATAATTATAAAGAAAACATTGATATTTTAGATTTAATTGTTTATAAATATCAAAAACAAATGAAAGAAATGACGATTTTTGGATTCATTTTCTTAATTTGAAAATATTGGTTATTTTTAAGTAAATTTGGTCTATAATGATGGCTTGAGATTTATGTTTTTCCAACGATATATTCCTCGCTTAATAACGCTCGCTCGGTTAAATTTGTACTTTTTATTCTTTACTTATTGTAGTTTATTTATATGTATATTTATGTTGTAAATTATTATTTCATTATTGTTTTATAGAAACAATCTCGATTTTGATCATTTTTATTGGCGAACTAAATGACAATTGTTATCAAATAATAATACATAAAAATGTGAATTAAAATTATCGCTTCTAACGAACAAACACAATACACTTTAAAAAAATGAAATATTTATTGTAAACTAGTAAAATTAAACGTGCGCAAGCGCGCCAAATTGAGTATTTCATTGTTTGTTATAAAGAAATTAAAGATTAACATTATCAATAATAATTTCATTTATTAGAATATTATTACATATTAACTGATAATAATGAAAATTATATGTTTACAGGCCTCGGATTATACGACTTTTTCCGACTTTTTTCAAAAATACGACTTTTATCGACTTATTTTAATAAAATGCTACATTTTTTTTACATTTGAAAAGAAAATGTAAATAAAATACCTTTTTTTTGTATAAAATGTAGATCTTCTTCAGATCTTCTTCAATTCAATTATTTAACAAATTTTGAACTAAAATGATTCTTCACTAAATTAATTATTTTTAATCATTTTAATGAAATACATCACAAATTCAATTATATCAAAATTATTTTTCAATTAAAATTTTTATGAAATTTAACAATTTTTTATAATTTAAAAAAAAAATATCACAATAAAATTAAATTATTTTTTAAAAATTTCAATTCAAAATAAACTAAAATTCAATTATTATCCGAAATTTTAATTCAAAATCAATTAAAAATCTAAAAATTTTCAATTTAAAATTTAATTATTTACCAAGTTTTCAATTTAAAATGAAATTAAATTCAATTATTTTCTAAAATTTCTTTTCAAAATTAATTATCCAAATTTTCAATCAAAAATGAACTTCAATTAAATTATTATCAAAAATTTCAATTAAAATTCAATTATTTCCCAAAAATTTTCAATTTAAAATCAAATAAAATTTCTTTATTCTCAAAAATTTGAATTCAAAATTAATTGAATTTTCAATAATTTGAATTTAAAAGCATCTAAAATTCAATTATTTCTAAAATTTTCCATCGAAATTTTTTTTTGAAATTTAATAATTTCAATTATAACTATAAGGAAATTCAATTATTTTTAACTATTTTAATAATATTCTTTGAAAATTCAACTAGGTATCTGAAACCATTTTTCAATTAAAAATGATTTTCGAATTGTTGTGTTTTGTCCGCATTTTCTAATAAATTTTTAGTGAAATCATCTATAATTTTAATTACAAAACACTTAAAGTTTCAATTAATTTCAAAAATCTCAATTTTAAATCTTTGAAAATTCAATTAAATTTAAAATATGTTTTCCAATAATTGTTTGATAAATTATTTTTAGTTCTGTAAAATTTAATAATTGTTTGAAAATTAACAATATCTTTTGAAATTTAATTATTTCTAAAAATTTCAACTTTAACCCTTCGAAAAGGATTATTATTAAAAAAAAAAATTTTTCATTTAAAAATCTGTAAAATATTTTTGTTAAAATAAAAAACAAATCCACTTTTTTTTGGAATATAAATCAACTAAAACGACTTTTTGTGTCTTTAAGTTGATTCGAGGCCTGTGTTGTTATAATTAATATTTAATAGGTATTCGTTGGCCCCTGGTACCTTAAAAATTAATTTTTAAAAATAAAGTTTTTTCAAATTACTATCTTGTACGAAATTTCCTGGCGCATCTTTTTTCTCATCATAAATTTTTTGTATTTGTATACAATTTTTGAATCAATATACAACTTTAAAAATTGGTAAACGAATTTTCGAATTTAGAATTTCAAAGAAACTTATTCCGAAATTTGGAAACACAATTATACAATTTTGGCAAAAATGAGAAAAAGAATTGTCAAAATCTGACACGTCATAAGATTACTATTCAAAAAAACACGTGAAATCAGAAAAGGCCAACTTTAAGGTAGGACAGAAGGACAGACCAAGCATTTTATTCTGCCGTACGATGTAAAAACTTAGTTAAGTCATATTTTTGACAAAACTGAGTTTTTGGTATCAATGGATTCGTAAGAAAAAACTGCGTCTGATTACGTTATTAAAAATTTTTTATTTTAATTATTTATTGCAAAAAATAGTTATTAAAAATCTACAAAAACCCAGAAAATGAAAGAATACTTGATAAAAACTCAGTTAACTCGAGTTGAGTAGTCCAAAAATCGTAGGAAGCGTTGAGATCGAGCATAAGATACGAAATAAAAACTTAGTTAACTTGAGTTGAGTAGTCCAAAAATCGTAGGAAGCGTTGAGATCGAGCATAAGATACGAAATAAAAACTTAGTTAACTCGACTTGAATGTTTTCTCTTTCGAAAAGTGGCATGAGCCGGACACTGCATTTCGATGGGAGCAAGCGTAAGTCAACTTCGTTAAAGTTCGGATTTTCGTCGGGTGAATTCGGAATCCCATGCATTTAGCTTGAGTTAACTAAGTTCTTACTTCTGAACGAAGGCTCGCGCTCGCCAACCTTTTCGAAAAGCACTACGTAACTCGAGTTACCCAAGTTTTGCAAAATAATGACTTAACTAAGTTTTTATTTCGCACGGCAGTATTATTATATAATTTTTTGTATTTCTTAAATTAAGTAAACAATTCAGATTAAAAAATGTGATTTAACAAACATAAGTGACAACGTTTTATTACTTTAACAGAATCTAATTATTTTCTCAGTATTAAATATTTTCGGTTATTATAATTATAACAACAGTAGTAATAATTGTAAATTATTTTAATTAAATTTTTTTTAATTTAAAATTTATTTTTTATAAAAGTTAAATTCTTGTCTTTTTATACACAATAATAATGATAATAATAATTTAAAATTATATCTAATAACATTTTTAATCAATTATTAATAATGTAAATAATTCTAAATGGGGGGGGGGGTAAAAAAGTTATTAAATAATAAAATAAAATAAGATTCTATTAAATGATAAATCTAAAAAATTTGTTTTAGAACTTTATTAATTTTATTAATTTTTTTATATTCAGAGTTGTTAAATGATAATTTTTTATTATTGTTCGGCAAACTGATATTTTTTAAGGATTTAATTTTTTACACGTGCCTCTTTATTGCTTTAAAAGTTTTAACATTAAATTTTATTAAAAACATTAGTTTTTTTTATTAAAAAAATTATTATACAGTAATAGGGTCAGTTGGGGTAAATGGTGACAAAATCCCTATTTTTAACAAATTACGTAAGTTTCTTCCTTTAAAAGGTAATATTTGCGGGTTTATTTTTTTCAAGTTATTATTTACATTCCCAGGATTAATTTTATGCAGCAGAAAAAAATTTAGATAAGCTTTAAATGCATAAAACTGACTGTCCCCATTTACCCCAAGATTTAGAAAATTTCCTAAAATTTGGGGTAAATGGGGACAGCACAGTTTCTAAGAAAGGTTTAAGAAAAAATTTTCCTTAAGTATATCACTGTATTAAGGGATGAAAAAAATTGAAAAAAATTTTTAGTAGATATATAATAGTTGAACCGATTGAAATTTTTTAATTTTTTTTTGTTACAGTATTTTATCTCGCATTTGAAAAAAAACAGACTTAAAAATCATACAAAAATGTTTTAGTCCTTATGACTCCCATAACAGAAATCCACTTGAAATTTTGATTTTCATCAATCCCTGTTGAAAATTCCGACCTCGTTTACGACGTCGTATTCTAAGTAGTTTGCGACGTAGTAAACGACGTTGAAAACGACATAGTAAACGACGTCGTAAATGAAAGCGGAATTTGGGATAGGAAATGACTTCGTTTACTACGTCGTTTACGATGTTGCAAAAATTATTTTAATATTATTTATTTAGTAATTTAGTAAGTACCCAATAGTAAAAATACCATAGGCGTATTAATGGCCCAATAATGGGAGCCAGGGATGCCAATATAATTTCAATAATGGCACCCAAAAATGGACCATTATTGGTAAAGTCATGGGCTGTCCACGCCGATGCCAATTATTGGCAACCAGTAATTATCAAATATTAAAAATTTTAATAATAATTTAAAAAATCAATAATTAAAAAAAATTTTATTATTTTTTAATAGTTATTATTATTATTTTATTTGTAATAATTAAATTAAAATAAAAAAAAATGGTCATCAAAGTATTAGGGAAACCATTTCTTCCAAAAAAGAATTTGTCTCAAATCTAATAAATAGGAGAGACATCGGGCAGAAAAAAATTTCGACAAGACAAAAATTTTCGATCACTGCTTATATACCAATCTAATGGCACCTCAACTGCGAGAAACAGTTATGACCCTATTGAAAAAAAACACGTATAATTGTACGTATAATAATACGTATAATAAGACATACGAATTTGAAACAAGAATTATACGTATAATTATACGTATAATAATACGTATAATTAATTATACGTATAATAATACGTATAATAATACGTATAATTATACGTATTATTATACGTATAATTATAATTCTATTAAAAATAGAATAATAGAATAGAATAATAATAGAATAATTAGTAGCAAAATTGCGCTGAAAATTTTTAGAAATTTTAAAATGCAAATTAAATTTCACGAAAAAAAATATCGTCTAATGTCAATTCAAGCAGTCACCCATCCAAGTACTAACCGCGTCCAACGTTGCTTAACTTCCGTGATCTGA